CAGAACTATTCATTCTTTTAATAAAAGTTACTTTCTCTTTGTGAATCGTTATTAAAGTATTAAATGTTGGTTTCCATAGTTTTTTTTTGCAATGGTTACTTCCCCTTTGCAAGCGATTGTTAAAGTATTAAAAACTTTTTACTTCAATGATTTGATTAACTGACTAGGTTTATTAGCAAAGTTTTCAGACATTAGCTTCAACCTACATTGCACCGTGGTAGAGGGCAGAAATTAAAGTTGACTTTGATTTAATGCTATGATCTCTGCAGTGCTATGTCTGCGCTCTCTTACTTGGGTAATTCTGTAGCTTCCTCCTGTACCTCTCTCTGTCTGTTCATATTTTCTGTCTAGTTCACAGGTTATACTTTTTCCTCTGGTATTTTGCCGCTGCCTTTCCTTCCTTTTCTCCTTTATTCCTCTGCCTCACCCTTTTAATCTGCTTTAGTGCTTTCTTTCTTTACCTCATTATGTCTTTTTGTTTTTGCCTTCTGTCTCTCCATTGGTTCCTTTCTCACTCAACCTCCTGTTGTGTACGGGCCAACCTACATCCCACCCATCTTGTTGTTTCTCTCTTTTATCTTTCCTCCTTCCCCCCCCTCCTTCTAACCTCCTCTCAACAATAAAAGTTACTCATGGCTTGAGGGGGAAGCATCTGGCCCATGCTGGCTCTCATTCTCTCTCTTTTGTTCTGAATGCTCTTTTGTTATAAATACAACAAACAGAAAAGCACAAAATCAGCTCTCAAGGCAAACACTGCATAATAATCCTCCTTGTCCCTGCTCCTCTTATCTCTGAAGAATTTGCTCTCCGGGCAAAATAAGAAGAAACATGAGAAAGGGTTTGCCAAATTTGGAGGCAAAAGAGAGAGACTAGAAAAAGCTTCATCATATGGGGCAGCAAGTTGGGCAGATTTGACAAAGCAGGTAGGGCAAAGTGAAATATAGCTTCCCAGGAGCTTGGACAGCACAGTGATGCCCCTGTGGGTGATCTATCCCTGTTGATCAGTCTCTGTTCCCATTAGGTTGTGGAGGCATGGTCAGGATCAAAAATGTTAGTTCGAGGTTTTTTTAGCACCCAATTTTTGGTGCCTTCTCATTTGTGCCTTGAGCCAAGGCCTTGTGTATATGAAACGTGTTTGCCAGAGAACTGTACCTGCTGGACCTCCACTGATGTTCTCAAAAAGCCACAGCAAGGTGATTCTGTGACTTGCCAGCTCCAGTCTCTGAAATAAATCAAAATAAGAACAGGCTTGCCCATTGTTGGGGCTCTTGCTTAATGTTAGATAGGGATTCTCTGACTAAACCAGCTTTCCTCAGAAAATGTAAGCTCCCTGGAAATGAAATGTTAGTTGGCATGCACTAGTTTAGACATGCAAGTGTTCTCAAAGCTAAAAAGAAAAAAGCTTGTTAAGCAGAAGGCAAGCCTTTCCCAATCCCCATAGCTCTGTGGTTAGGATACTGGTGGTTAATGTGGGGTAGACAGCATCAAGTTCTACCTGGGACCGGTTCTGCCTTGCCCTTCCCTTAGCAATCTTACATCTGCCTGTCCACATGCAGTGGGCCTCCATCCTAGCCAGTTAATGCATTTTGCATAATATACGAGTATTATATTCAGAAAAATCTGGGTGATTAGTTTTACTTGTGCTGTATCAGATAGCCCTGCTAAGGAGCTGTTAAGGTACTTCCCCCAGAAGTGATCTGTGATGTGGGAGGTAGGTGTGTGTCCTAGGACAGAAACAAAACTGGTATTTAGGAGGAACAGCCTATGATGCAAACTTCAAATGTGAATATTTAAGCATCAGCAAATGGGGCAAAACTCACTGAAATGGGTGTTTTTCACACATTCCTTAGGAAAATTTGGGTTCCAGTGGTGCATTTTGAGCTTGTGTCTCTTTTTTACTACTGTTTACTTTGCCAGCACTGTAAAATAAAGAAGTACAACCCACTATGTTTTGCATTATGTGTTAGAGACTTAATTTTCAGCTGAACTCTTATTGCTTTTAAATTGGACTGGTATGTATTTAATCTAGTCAGGAAGTTTGGATTGCTTAGCACTAGCAACAGATTCATGTGGGCTAAGAATAAACAAGGAATGAGGACATTTCAGAAGAATGCAGTCCAAAAATTGCTTCTACAATTTGGATATGCTTAGAGCCTCCACAAATATGGCAACTATTTACACTAACTAGTAAATTAATATTTCCTGAGCTAATGCCAAAGTTTGAGACATCTGGGTGATCAGACTCAAGGTAGAGTTTGCTGTGTTTGCAAACAAATGGAAAATAAACTAGGAAAAGGAAAAACAAGTGTGAGCCAAAATTAGTCAAAGAGGGTTAGGGAATTAGGCTGGACACAGCTCCTTGCTCCCAGGTGCAACCAGTAGCAAGGCTGACCATGTATTCCCTGTAGGCACGTGCATAAAAACACATGTATGCATCACATGTACATGTATATACACGGCTGCCACACGGATCAACAGACACACTGTGCATTTACACAAACACAAGCAGCACCAATGGCCTCACGAAACAAGCAGGATGGAGGTCCAGTAGTGGGAAGTATACATATATATATATATATGTAAATATGCAAATATGGTAAAGTGGATCCTTCCAGGAGCTGGAGTCAGAGAGTCTGACCCCAGATACCAGTCTCCCTGACGCTAGCATGAGGCTGCAGCCCCACTCCTGTTGGTGATGCACACACACAGACACGCACTCAGGTGTCCTGGCCAGGACAATCCTGGTCCCTCTATAGCCAACCTGCCATGGCCTTGCCCTTAGAGACAAGCAGACACCAGTGGTTCTCACCTCTATAGACCCCCAGACCCCACAGTCTCTCCAGCAGCTGGCTGGGACTGTCCCGGTCCCTCCGATAGGCAGCTCCTCCCTTACAGGCAGCCCAGCTCCCAGGCCGCTTCACCTGGTTGCCAGCTATCTGGTTGGATCTTTATTTGTGCTCATACCCTCATCTGTACAGCCGTACTTGCTGCACCCTGGGCACATGGGCCACTGTGACCTGGCACTCAGACCTCCATACACACACCCCACCCCCAAATACAGCCCATACACACACCCCACCTCACCAAGGAAAAGAGTTAGAAATAGAAATTAACAGGATTGGGCAAACGGTGCTAATCAAGCGCAGGACAAGGCTGGACACTTGTGCTGGCCAGCTAAGAGTTGACATGCAACTGTCCCTTTTTTCCCTCGTCTCTCCTTTTCTCCTCTTTGTTTCCTCCCCTAAACATCCCATAGTAAGTCCTGTGCAATCCCAAAATTCTCTTCCCCTGCATCCTGTAAGGTGTCCGGTGCCCCTGCACGCAGCACCACCTCTTCCCCAGTCTAAAAGGTGCTCCAGCTTTGGCTTTGTGATGAGTTTCACACCTGAACAATAGGGCTGATGGCTCTCCTGGGACTGCACCTGGCCCAGGCAGGGTGTCCCTTCCTCTGAGTCCTTAATCCGGGTAGTCGCCTGGCATTGTGTCCCTGTTTTCCTCCGGGTGTGTGAAAATTGGGCCTTTGATGTGCTAATGGCTCTTCTGATGGGCCTGGGAGTAGCTGGGGCAGGGTCTTAGTTGGGTTCCTCTTCTGCTATTGTCTCTCCATCCTCTTTTGTGGGTGTGAAGAGGAGCTTTTGTCACATAGCCTAAGAAAAAGGACTGTGCAGGCATCCTGTACCCTTCTACACAGCTTTTTCTGCTGGAAATAATATTTTAACACCACACAAATACCCACGAGGTACTTACCACATAAATATCCCATGAGTATTTATCAACCTCACTCACCCTTATAAATGCCATAAAATAAAAGGGTATTTGTGAGGGTGAGTGGGGGAAAAGCTTTGTACCTGTTGATTTCCAGTTATGTGTGGCCAGGTGACCACGCCAAACAAACAGCAGAAGCGAATTTAAAATGTGATTGTTCCAGTTCCCCAGAATCTTATGACAAAAGCGGTGTCTGGTCTCAAGGTGTTTTTTCTAACAATGAAAAAACAGGCTGTCAGGTTTCTCCCCCTGTCCTTGCCCTCATCCCCAGCTCTCAGCTGTTGCCATTTGCTGAAGTCGAAGTCCTTGACAGGTTCTTAATTCAGTGAAGACTTCTATTGTTTGACAGCAGTTTTGCCTGCGATTCAAAGCACAGCTCTTCATTATTCTCCTAGAAGAGTTTGGTAATTGTTTGACCTGAAGGATGGACAGTAAATGACTATGGAGCACAGTAGCCTAGTTTGATTTAATCATAGGACAGTTTTGGTTACAAGTGACCTTAAAAATCATCTAGTTCCAATCTCCCTGCCATGGGCAGGGACACCTTCCACTACACCAGGTTGCTCAAAGCTCCATCCAACCTGGCCTTGAACACTTCCAGAGAAGGGGCATCCACAATTCTCTGTGCAATCTGTGCCAGTGCCTCACCACTCTCACAGTAAAGAATTTCTTCTTATTATCTATTCTAAACCTGCCCTCTGTCATTTTGAAGCCATTCCTTCTTGTCCTGTCACTACATGCCCTTGTAAGGAAGGGTGCAAGTCTTAGGCTAAATGTAGCTTTAGCTTTGCCCCCATAGATTCTAACATCGTAGGAAAAATTTGTTTTTAAAAATAAAAACATGCAACCAACAAAACAAACAAACAAAAAAATCCCCCAAACTCAGCTATCCAGAACTGTGCTTCATGCACAGCTTTGGGAGGAGGGATGAGCACCCACAGAGCACAGCGTTAGACTTCAGGTTTCTGCCCGTGCTGTTTGTGTGGCTGCCTCTCTGCACCGTCACTGCCGGCCTTGCTGCTTTGGCTTATAGACTGAATAATAAATATCTTTATTTTTAAATACAATAAATAATAAATAAAGATGTCGCTTTGTGTCACGCAGCTGCTTTCGGTGCAAACCAGCGGTATTGTACCAATTAGCCAACGTCTGCGCGTGACATCCAAGGTGTGGTGGGCCCTTGTCCCCGCCGCCCGTGCCTTCTCCCTGCGTCCCTGCGGAGCGGGGAGCAGAGCCGGGGCGCTCCATGGCCACCCCGCCGCCCGGCACGCCCCGCCCGGTGCCACCGCCCGCCCCGCTCCATGACCGCCCGGCCGCCCGGCACGCAAGTTCTCGTCAGAGAGTGGTGCGAGCTCGGAGGGGTGTTTCGTGATTTTTTTTTTTTTTTTTTTTCTCTCCTTGAAAACAGAAATGACAGGATGCCCGGCAGCCCCTCCCCGCCCCTCCTTCCCACCCTCCCGTGGCGAGCCCATAAATCCGTGCGGGGCGGGCGCGCACCAAGTCTCGGGCGTGGGCGGGTGCGGCGCCGCCTCCTCGCGGGTTCCGTTAGGTGGGGAAGGGTGGCCGTTCGCCCGCAGACGTTGTCCGGGAGCCGCCGACCATGGATGACAAAAAGGTGGGATGGGGAGCGCGGGTTCCTTCTCGTCCTCTTTCCCCTCGCCGCTCGGGTACCCGGGCGCTTCGGCGGAGGGCCGGGGAGCGGGGATGCTGTCGCGACCGGCGGGCGGCCGGGGTTGGTTGTCGGCTCGGTGGCCGCCGCCGCCGGGTGTCTGTTGGTCCCAGTGAAGATGGATGCGGCGGTGGTGCCGGCAGGACCGCTGCTTGGCCCCTTCGGAGGGTGGCTCGGAATAAACCCCCATCTGCGGGAGGGGAGACGGGGCGCGGGGGCGGGCACAGTTTGGAACGGGTTGTTGTAGGTCGCAAGATCGATTTGGTTTCATGCGCGTGGCCTGATGATGCACATGATGCTGTCCGGGTTTTAGGGTATTGATCACGAGGTTTGTTTTGCTGGCAGCGCCGCACTCGGTTTGTCTCAGGGTTTAGGATGCTAGAAGGGGGGTTGTTATTAAAGGCATTTTGTTTGGTGGTGGCATGATGTATAAAGGCATTTTTAAATTTCAGGAAGGCGGCGAAGTGTATCTTTCCCTTCTTTCTCCTATGGAGAACAGGGGACATTTGTCGATATCGTAGTTCATCTGCAGCTGAGAGTGAGGTGTGTAGCAGTGGCGTGAGCTCATGATGTGCGTGTTTGAATGTACCAAGAGAGACAGCAAATTCCCAGCGGAACCCGGAGCGGGATGCCGGGGGATTATAGTTAGACGGGAACAGCAGGATCGGGGAAGGACGAGGCCTTGCATCGCCATATTGATGGGAGATGGGGGCAGTGCGAGAGGATGAGGCAGAGAAAAGGGGAGAGCCCGGTCAAGGTCGCTTAGAGAGGCTGCTCCCGCTGGGCTCAACAAGTTGTACAGCTCTGGAGTTCCACTCGGTGACGGAGGGGAGCTGGTGAGGAGCATCTCCTGGATAACGAATGCTACTGATGCCTGTGGTCGGAGGGAGGGGGGGTGGTGTGAATTCCTTGCTGGTGTACAGACCTCAGCCTTGAGCCTTTAGATAGAGTGGGTGGAGCTGTGCTATTTCTGAGCTCCCTGTTTGCCTTTTGGGGAGTGAGGCAGTTGCAACAGTAACAAATGATCCATACACTAGATCACGGCCTGGCTCATTGGAGGGTATGGGTCATGCCACGTGATGGCTAGGTGGTAGGAGGCTGGGTAGGAGACAAATAGCAGGCAACAGCCAGGAGAAGGAAGTATGAAGGAGGGCAGAACAACTTATAGCTTATGTATGTGCCATGTAGGTGAGGGGTACCCACAAAGCAAGGTACCGGAAGCAAAAGGCCAGCTGTGGTCATCGCAAGCCATGACAAAGCAGAGTCCTGGGGGAAAGGTGCTCTCGAGTTGAAGATGTGGAGAGCTGGGTTTTTTTGTTCGCAGTTTAACTATACCTACTGACTAAAGATGACCTAGCCTGGGGTCTTAAAAGTGCTTAAATATTGTAATGCCTTTTTACAGTATCCTCCAGATGCTTTGAAAGAGCTGTGTCCTTGTGGTTCTGTGCCAAATTTTCTCGAGATAAAGATGAGGGGAGAAGTCACAGGGTGCCATGGAGAATGCCTAGACTGCCTAGGGTGTGTTCAGGTGTGAATGCTACCTCGGTGAACATCTGCACCTTGTCCCCTCTGTCTCCATTACTGACCTCGGCAGGAAGAGAACTCAAGCTTGAGACATTTACATGATGTAGGTGGAGGAAGCCATGCCCGAGAGTAATTTCCTCAGTTTCTGTTTACTGGGGCCGAACTGGTAGGCGTCTTAGGGTTGTGCAGGCCAGAAGGACATACATGCTTGGCTTGAAAGATTGCTGAAGGTGGTATGAGCACTGGAAGAAGGCTATTATCAAAAACTGGGCGGTTCTGTGAGCAGCTACTGGAGCTGGGCTAGAAAGTGAGCGACTGAAAGAGATGTGATAGTAGGCCCCACCAAGTACTTATCTCTACTCTGCCAGTAGAAGTACAATAATTGGAAAGTCTTGGAAAAGGGACTGTTAATATTTTTGGAAAAGCTTCCAATCCCTCCTGAGATGGAAACACGATCTTTCCAAATTGTGCCAACTCAAGCACTGTTGGCCTAAGCGCCAGCTCCTGAGTCACCTGCTCCCCCACACCTCCCTCACTCGGAGCTGGCTTAAATGCCACAAGCTTCAAAACCGAATAAAATGTCAGATGTTTTTCACTGACACGTTTCTCAGTATATGAGACTTCTGAGGGTTGGACCTTCCAGCTTTCTCCATGGCTCTGAGGGCTCAGCAGTTTTTGTTTTAATTTAACAGAGATTGACATATACTGAAATTCCAGGGAGTGTGCTTCATTTAAAATATCAACTATTGCCACAGCTTCAAGAAAAATAAACGGGAAGGTTGGCAGTAACTGTTGCCATCTCTGAGGGAGGCTGCTGTGCCAGGTGCCCTGGGGCAGGGTTGGGAAGCTCTAGCCTGGGAAAAACAAGCCTGTTGCTGAAGAGTGCGTGTTGTAACTATTACGAGTGACTGCCAGTGTAGCTCATGGGCAGATCTGAGACTCAGTTTATGGGAACTTGTCAGCTGGCACAGGAAAGTTAGACCCTTCTTTCATGACACGCCAGAGATCAGCAAAAGCTTCTGTAAAGCAGATCAACCCAAAATAACAGCTACTAATGCAGCCAGTGTATTCATTACTAATGAGCTGAGAATAGTTGTTAAAGGTCGGGAGATAATAAAGGGGAGGCCCTGACAAGGCCTCCCACTTGTAGTCACAGAACTTTTTCCTTCTGTACAGTTGCATTTCCCTTTCCAGGGAGGGAGATCTAGGGGATGCTACTGGTAGGTACCTACCTTTGCCGGATGAAAGGCCTTTCCTGGCCCTTGGTGCACTTGCATATGGCACCTATGAGGTGCAGCTGCTGTTCATGCTGAAGAGAAACTCAAGTTGGTTAGAAAGTCAAATTAACTAAATGTTTCCTCTCTCCACAGAAAGTCACAGCACCCCTTATCTATGCTGTTTGCATTGCTGCCATTGGCTCTCTTCAGTTTGGGTACAACACTGGTGTCATCAATGCACCTGAGAAGGTGAGAGCAAGAATGGGCTGGGGAGATGGTATGAGTGAGGGGCTGATGGGAAAACAGAGGTATACAAAGGAGAGGGACTGTCATCCAAGCTTATAATTTGGTTCTGGTTTGTGAAGTCAATAAGACATTTAAAGTCCCCTTTCAAATACAACAATGGACAAGAAGGGCAAACTTTTGGGGAGGAGAAAGAGCACACAGAGAGGTTAATTCTCCTAATTAGGAATGGGGGGCAGGGGGGCAGGAGGCTCCATTTACCATATGTAGTATGTGGAGGAATGCGAGCAACTTCAATTTTGAGTCAGAATAAACCAGCCATGGCAGAAGGAATGTAGCAAGCAGTGTGCAGAAAACAGTGGAGGGTTGGTAAGGATTATAGTTGCCCTAGTTTAGTTTATTTCAGGTTTCTTTATTTTACTTGTTTATTCATTCCTTGTGTTAAGTATAGATTCAGTGCTTGCAAAAGGGTTGTGACTTGGGCACTCTGACCGAATCATCTCATGACTGTAGCCTGAGAAAGGAGAGATGAAGAAAATGAGAGATGTGGTTTTCATGTAACTTTAAGATGGTTCCTCTCTCAAGAACTGAGTCACCAATACCACATCCACCCTGTCTCCGGGAAGAGATGTCACATCACCAACGGGATGGGGGATGGGGGTTGGTCCTCCCTAGCTAATGTCCTGCTGCCATCTGCTGGGGACAGACACTCTGTCCCCCCTAGCCCATGCAAAATTTCCCTCATTATCTGGGGGAATGCCTTTGAAATCAGCGTCATGGCCTTGTTGAGTTGTTTTACATAATGCTGCTTTTCAGCCTTACTTCAGTGAAGCCTTGTGTCTCTTTTAACAATGTCCATACCAGAAAGCCCCTCCCTGCTTCCAGTGTTTTGGTATTGCCAGAAATGTCCCCTTCCATTCTCTGTTCACGCTTTCTTGTTCCCTTTCACTCCCAACTGTCTCACACCTCCTCCCAAGAACCACCAGTGACTCACCTAATCTAAAATACTCAGAAGATAAGCCTGTTTTCCCTAATAAACACTGCTGTCTTGTGTGTACCCCACCTGCCCACCCTCACCCCCCAATTCAGTGAAGCAATCTCTCCCTCATGCTATTTCCTCTTTCTGCACCCTCATCTTCCCCTTGTATGACTTGTTACTGCCTGCTGATTTTTTTTTTTTTTGAGTGGGGGAGTCTATTGTTTTCATGGCAGCAAGAAAGACAGTAGTCTCCCCTCTCCCCAGTGCAAAATACCTCCTTCTGGATTGTAACTCTGTCTCCACCTGATCTCTTGCAGATTATCCGGACGTTCTTCAACAAAACCCTGTCAGATAGGAGTGGGAGGGCTGTCTCCCAAGAGCTCCTCACCTCCCTGTGGTCCCTTTCTGTGGCCATCTTCTCAGTAGGAGGTATGATCGGCTCCTTCTCAGTCAGCGTGTTTGTCAACAGATTTGGCAGGTAAGTTGGGATGAGGGATACAATCTGTTAGGGTATTTTTCCCTTCTGCAATGCAGTTTTGGGAGGAAGAGAGCAGAGGTGAGCGTAAGGGAGGAGGAGATGTCTGGGGATGAAGCGAGAATGTGGGCAGCAAAAAGAAAGGAAGGGTTTCAGGTCAAGGCAGGAGCTGAATGGGTATTATTCTGTTCCCACCACTGAGACAGGAGATCATGGTCAGGTTTATCCTCCTCCCAGTGATTTTCCTGTTGGCGGTTTAAGCTCAGTCTTAACATCTTTTCCTGGGCAGGAGGAACTCCATGCTACTGGTGAATGTCTTGGCCTTTGCTGGTGGCCTTCTCATGGCCTTCTCTAAGGCGGCAAAGGCAGTGGAGATGCTGATTATTGGCCGCTTCATTATTGGCGTCTTCTGTGGTCTCTGCACCGGCTTTGTGCCCATGTACATCAGTGAGGTCTCACCCACCAGTGTCCGTGGAGCTTTTGGCACCCTCAACCAGCTGGGCATTGTTGTGGGCATCCTGGTGGCTCAGGTAGGCTTGGCACAACCTGCTCATACCCGTGGGGGAGGGAAAGGAGGGCTGGGGGAGGGTGAGGAGGGTTGTACTTGCCATCAGGTGCAGTATATGGTCCTGTAATACTGGCGTGGGAGTGAGGAACTGAAGTGTTTAAATCACTCTGCTTTCTCTCTAATTCTTGGTGTAGATATTTGGCCTGGAGGGAATCATGGGGACTGAAGCACTTTGGCCACTGCTTCTGGGGTTCACAGTCCTCCCAGCAATCCTGCAGTGTGTGGGTCTTCTTTTCTGCCCTGAGAGCCCCCGTTTCCTATTGATCAACAAGATGGAAGAAGAGAAAGCACAAGCAGGTAAGAACTCATCTCGAAGGGGCAGGGCAGTGTTCTGGCTCCCAGCCTACACTGAGCTTGAGTGGGAGGCCAGGTCTGACTCTGGAGCCTGTGGTGGATTAGGGTGTGACTCCTGGAGGGCATCAGGCCTGGTGTACCCTCCCATCCTTTAGGTTGCACCAATGCCAGAAAGCATGAGAAACCTGGCATCCCAACAGAGGCTCCAGGTGGGATTAAGACTTGAGGAGTGGCACCTGGCCTGGTGGGAAGTAGCAGGATGAGCTGCTGCCACTCCTCCTGAAAGGCAGGAAATAGGATGACATTTAACAAGGAGCTTGGAGGTCTGAGATCAACTCTGGCAAGAGCATGAACAGAATTTGAGATCAAATATAAGCTTGGAGATCAATCAACATGACTAGGGCCTGTGCCTGATTTCCATGTTGATCACAACACCCGGACCTGGGTTGAAAAGATGAGCAAGGCTGCATGTAGAGGCTTGGTCTTTCCCGTGTAACAGGCCCAAACACCAGCTGGCAGGTGTTCCACTCTTCCTGCTGTGCCCTTCCTGAAATAGCAGGGCAGGATACAGACACGCACCCATGGCCGGTAGGTCTGAGTATTATGCCTGACATTTTTTGATTCCTCCCTCCAGTTCTCCAGAAGCTCCGTGGTACACAAGATGTGTCTCAAGACATCCAGGAGATGAAAGAAGAAAGTGCTAAAATGTCCCAAGAAAAAAAAGCCACTGTGCCAGAGCTCTTCCGTTCTCCAAACTATCGTCAAGCCATTATCATTGCCATCATGCTGCAGCTCTCCCAACAGCTCTCAGGCATCAATGCTGTGAGTTATCTTCCTGTCCCATCTGCTGGGCCTCCCTTATCTGTGGCTAAACTTGCACTTGCCACTGATGCAGAGAGAACTGTACCTCCAAAAACCTTTTTGTGCCTTAACTGGAGGTCACTGTTGTATGATATGGCAAAGATGGCTGAGATGGAAGGTGGATATTGTATTGGCTTTCACTTTTCCCACGCACACTATGGCAAGACACTGCAGCCTTGCACCAAGTGAATGAACCGTGACTGGAACTGTGGAGTGCTGCTTAGAAACTCCCTGTTGGGATGTGCAAGCCAATTAGGCAGAGAATGAGGGACATGCTCTCAAACATGGGATCATGACTGTGTCCAACTTTTGCTTCTCTTCCCAGGTATTCTATTATTCAACTGGGATTTTTGAAAGAGCTGGTATCAAACAGCCTGTGTATGCCACCATTGGAGCTGGCGTGGTGAACACGGTCTTCACTGTTGTGTCGGTGAGTGGAAGACCTGGGCCTCTTTAAGAGATGTGACTAAAGACAAGTAGCCAGTGGCTGTGGCAAAGCATTGAGCTAAACAATGACCTGTAGGAGCAAAGAAAAGAATTAATCGAAGGCATTTGTGGGAGGAGAGGTGGGCAGAAAGAGGTATTGTTTTCCTAGGTGAAAAGAAAGGTGAAAAAGGAGTGCATGGGGGAAAAGTGATGAGAGAAAGCAGCAGCAAGAACCAGAGTGGAAAAACTTGTGCTGAGGATGGAGTAGTCTGGTGACTTGAACTGAGATCACCACTGTCACTGAGGGCTATAGGCAGATGAGAAAAGAGGTGCAGGACACACTGAGCAAGGGAGCCTGTCATACTTTTGCTACCAAAGTAATGGATTTTTCTTCTAACCTTTTTCCAGCTCTTCCTGGTGGAGCGTGCAGGGCGCAGGACCCTCCATTTAGTTGGTTTGGCTGGCATGGCTGTGTGTGCTGCTGTTATGACTATTGCTTTAGCTCTGAAGGTGAGTAAACAGTGTTCTTATTCATGGTGACCCCAGCAGGGGACCTATAAGACTTTACATCTGCAGTGCTGTCCTGTAGGGCAGGTAGAGCTGGGGCTATACATGAACGTGCAGTAGGGAGCGTGATTTTCTAACTCTGGAAACTGCTACAGTGTTCACAGTGCAGCTGAGAAAGTTGTGACACTGGAGTTGGCATTGTGCTGTACCATGTTTGCCTCAAACTGCAGCTGATTGTATTTTGTTCCCTTGCAGGACATTTTGGAATGGATCAAATATATCAGCATTGTTGCCACTTTTGGCTTTGTGGCTCTTTTTGAGATTGGCCCTGGCCCTATCCCGTGGTTCATTGTGGCAGAACTCTTCAGCCAGGGCCCACGGCCTGCAGCCATGGCAGTGGCTGGGTGTTCCAATTGGACCTCCAATTTCTTGGTGGGAATGCTCTTCCCCTATGCAGAGGTAAGTCCTGGTTTATAAAGCACTGTGAGAGCACTGCAGCATTGGAATAGGTGTCCAGAAAGGCTGTAGAATCTCCATCCATGGAGACTTCCAGCGCATGACTGTATGACCTTTAATAACCTGACCTCTCCTGGAAGCTGTCACTGCTTTGAGCAGGAGGTCCCTGAGTCAGTCTTAGGATTGTTACTGAAGTGCCATTGCTCACCTTATATTCTGGTGTCTCAACTGCTTGAAGCTTGTAAATAGTTGAAAGAGCCATCTCTGTTAGCACATCAAGGCTTTCCCTTTAAAAACCTTAATTTTGGTCACCCCTAGGAACATTGAAGTCTTTCAGAAACCCACAGGAACCTGATTTAATTTTAAAAAACATCGATGAGAAGAAGGGCATTGTTGGAGAAACGTGTTGGAATTTTGACCTGTCAATGGCAAATGACCTTGCATTTAGATTTATTTTCAAATCAAAACCTCTTGCTTTTGTCCTCCTTGCAGAAACTGTGTGGCTCCTATGTCTTCCTCATCTTCCTCGTTTTCCTGGTCATCTTCTTTGTCTTCACATTCTTCAAAGTGCCGGAGACCAAGGGGAGGACTTTTGAAGACATCTCCAGGGGCTTTGAAGGACGAGCAGCATCCAACCCTACATCCCCTTTAGAGAAGAACCCCATGGTGGAGCTGAACAGCATACGACCTAACAAAGAAGTTGCCTAAGATTTGTGAAACACCCATTCTTCAACTCTCACATGCCTAAAGAGTCATTAAAGGAATGAGAAAAGAAAACCATGAGAACTGGGACATTTTTCCCCTCCTCAATTGCTGCTATTTTCTTCTTTTCACCCACATGCTTGCCCATTGTGCCAGGCTTACCAGCATTAATCGAATCTGATATGGGTAGTCTGCCATACTGGAAAGCACCTGGCACTTGCAAAAATAATCTCATCTTTCCTGTCAAACACCAGGAGAACAGAGAAGAGCTGGCAATGTTTTTTGCTTTCCTCACATCAAATTGCCATTTGGGGTTGACATACTTATGCACACAGTGACCATTATGTATTTGAATTACTATTTTTGTAGTGAGTTAAAGTGACCCGCTAAACAAGTCCCCAGCCCTTTGAGTCTATCTTGTGTGCGTGTGTACAGTGTTACACTGGAATTTAGCAAGCCTACCAAAAAGCCAGGTTGCTTTTTCCTATCCAGTGTGCACTTTTTTTAGCCTCAGGTAAAAGGGGACCAAGTCACATGCATATTTTTCCTGCTCTTTTATTTTTTTTTTTGTATAGACAAACTGAAAGCATACTTTTACTTCAGTTTATTTATTTGTATGTCACTTTGTAAATATTTATTTTTTTAATGGTGTACAAAAATGTACAGATAAAGAAATTGAGGAAGTTTAAGAGAAATAGCTATTCTAACAAAAGATGCTGTAGACTTGAGGCGCAATAAGGACTGTAAAGGAGGAATGTGGTACTAAAAAAGAGATCATTTTGGGTGGTATGTACAACAGAGCCAATTATGCACATTACCTTTAAGTTATTTGTGCCCTCTGGAAAGAAATTCAAGGAATTGTGTACTTGTGAGAAGAGGTATGTTTCTCCGCCAAAATCTCTGTTATTAGGGATTTTTTGGTGGCTATTTTAAATAACTGTTCCCAAGTGTTCATTAGGAAGTGATATTGGAGCTTACAATGAGTGTTGTTAGATTATATTTTCAGACATGGTTTTAAGCATTCTATGGATGATTGAGGGTGGTGATTGCTAACCAGAAAGTAACTTTTCCTGCCTTCTCTTGATTTTCTTTTTGGCTTTTCTGTTGTATTCTAAGAGGTCATAAAGTCTGAAAGTTGCAGATCGTTACTTAAAGGCGTGCGAGGACAAAAATTATTTTTCAAAGCTATATTTTTCTTAGCAGTTGTTCCTATAAATATTACAGAGGCATGTAGCATGACCCTTCTGGACACAGGCATGGTCAGTTATGGTACATGTAAGTTCATAAAAGTAGACATGCAGGACTAGAGAACAGAGGTACTGGAAGTTGCTAGTTTAGCAGTATGAAAGGTCTGTAGTGCTCAGTCCCCTGCTTGGTTGCAGGCCTAATGTTTTTGCCCCATGTATCCTCTCCGGAATATCTGCATGATGATGTGGTGCTCAGCAGCGTGCTGTGTAGGTGTGTACAGCTCTATAATAGTGCCTCTGTTAAAAGGGATGTGGCAGACAGTAATTGTACATCAGAAAACGTTGGTATCCCCACTTGTCATACTGCTGGGCAGCTGAGAGTGTGTGTGCATGCACTCTGGCTAGCACAGTTCAGTTCAGGTAGGCAAAAAGTAGCACGTAGGTTATATTTGCAGTCAAGGGGTGGGAGCTTTGCTTCAGTGACTGCACTGCTCTGTCAAGAGACTCCAGGCCTGTGCCTGTCCAGGCCTGCACAAGCTGTCTAAAGGTAGCACAGAGGTAGGTCCAATTTAAACTCCTGCTCTAAGATGAAGTCTGCATCTAGTCTGCAGTTTTGGACTTGATCAAACTCGGGTCTACCTGCTGGAATTCATTACTGGATTTGCTGGAAGAGAGGCAAACTCACGGAGTCCAAGTTGGGTAAAAGGAGGAAAGGCTCAGAAAGGTAGGAAGGACAGCAAGACTTTTGTAGCATAGATAGCCCAAGCTTTCTTACCAACATAGTGCTTCAGAACAGGTTAGAGAAGTTCCCATTGATGTATATTCTGGGGGGTCTGTCTGACGTTTTCAGTAACTAGTGATGATGTTTCTGTCTTCCCTAATATGATACAGTTGCAGAGATCAGTTAAATTTGCTGCTGTGAATTAATTTGAAATACCCCAGCTTTGCACAATGCAGTTGTATTACATCCAATTTTACCTAGCTTTTTATCAGGCTTACATGCCAGATATTTATTCTCAGAAGTGTTATATAAGACTTCTTTCCCAACTTTGACATTTTGACTCAGTTACACAGATTTCTTTGCCCTTCCTTTGACCCTCCATCACGTCCAGACATGATATTTCTATATGGAGTATCTGTATGTCAGGAAATTACCCCTATGGCTGTGCATAAGAGCATTCCATACTTTGCATCAGATGTGTGTTGGCTTGGACCGAAATGTGTAGGCCTTTCTCACATGGTATCTCTTCGTTATTTTCTTTTTCTGTAACAGCATTGTGAATATTTTGGATGGATTTTATATGCTTATTAATGTGGTTGTTTCCTGGTTTTGAAATAAAAAATATTAAATAAGTGTCTGATTTGGATTTTGCTTTTACCTTGTAGGTCTTCTGTTTCTTATTCCTTTATCACAGCCTGGGACTATACCCTGAAATGTCACCCTGCAACCTTTTTGGCTAGCTCAGCACTCTTTGCTGTTTTAGTCTAGTGGAAATGGTAATTCCTCTCAGCCTCCATGCAAATCACCTTTAATTCCCTTACTGTTACTCCTTAGGAGTTTTTAAACTAAAAAGGTGTGCATCTCTGCTTCCTGTTTACCCAAATCCTTTTGTTTGCCTACAAATACTTTCCCAGTGTTTCTCAGTAACAGGGAGAGGGATGTTGTTGGAGGTTATGAATCCAGTCCAGAGATAAAGTACCTGAGATTTCTGCCCCTGCGCTCTTCTTGCTGTGGTCCTCAACTTCTGTGCTAGGAGGGTGAAGAAGGGGCCCCTTTTCCTGTAGCTGATGCTTTGCTCCCTCTGTCTGGCAAGTGACCTTTATGTCCTCCTGACATCATGTCCATGTGCATTCAGTACTGAGTGTCTGAAAGGAGCAGTGTTGTGAAGAGAAAACCCCACTGCCCAACAGAGCAAGCCAGTTCCCAAAAGCTGATCCTACAGCTCAGGGACTGGGGTATTCCGTGGCCCACTATTGGGTCTGGACTGCTCTCACCCATAGCTCTCTTGCCTAGGGAGTACTGGGCATCCACCTATTCTCAGGTTCTCCTTTTCCTGCCCTACAGCTATCTAACAAGTCCAAAAAGTCAATGCTTGTGTTTTTGGCAGAAACTATAGGAACAGTTCATCAAAAAAATGTGGAAATAAAATATCCTTTAGAGGAGGAGGATGGACTGAAGTTAGAGGAAGGAAAAGATGACAGAACCCAGAGTACCCTAGAGCAGGATTCTGGCTAATATAGCTCCAGAGCCAGCAGGCTGCAATGAGGAAACAGTAGGGAATAATGTAAAGTCTGAAAAAGCTCAGCAGAGATCCAGTATAGACTTTCTGAAGCCTGACGTTACTGGCTGCTGCATGCTCCTGGCCTGTGTTTTGCTAAGTTTGGTATGCAACCAGCCTTGGAGCTGGGGAGTGCTCTGGGCTAATCTGTCTAGGATTGTTTTTCAATTCTAGCTGAGCTAAAAAAATAAAGCCCAGCCATCCAAACTCATAAGCATATCTAGCTCGAACTTAACTCTTAATATTTCGGTTTTCTTTGTCAAAATAGGAAGCAAAGAGCAAATTCACTTGGGGCCAAAGCACGTGATTCACTGAGCTCTAAATTAATGTTTTGTGTAGTTTTCGTGATAAATGAGGCTTTGTTTTAGATCTGGTTATTTTTGAAAATTGTAAGGAAGCTTCAAAAGGAAAACCTGTTTGCACTTAAATGGTTTGAATGTGTGAAAATGGGTTGTTTTCAGTTGAAACTGTTCATCACATCCAAGTGAGCATGTAGGCAGTTCTTGTGGCCTCCACAATCCCCCACAGAAATGAGTCACTGGAGAACCCTTCAAAGAGTGAAACTACTGCTGAGTTGACAAGAGAAGGCCCCCAAAGGTCACAAGTGACATCAGCCATGTCAAACGTTTCAGTGCTGTTTTACAGGCTAGAGCGTGATAGAGTGTCACAGCATCACTGACAATATTTGTCACTTTTTGCTTGTGCTATTTGTGATGAACATATTTGTGTACCAGGCAAAAATAGCAATTTATTTCTGTGAGAAGAAATGTGTGGGGAGAAAAAAAAAAAAGAACAAAACCCACATTTTATTGGAGGTAGATTTCACTGATGCATGCCCAGTGCACAAATCTTTATATTTGATTTTGTGCTCTAAAAAGAGCACATTTGAGTTCCAGACATTTCAGGAGCTGGGGCTGCTTCTCCCTTGGGAGCATATCTGGATGAGAGCCCAAGCAGAACTGCAGTCTTACCTCCAAGCAAAGCTGCTAAGCCTTTCTTTGAGGGCTACTCCAAGAAGGAACATTTGCTAGTGTGGTGGGGGACTGTGCCATCATAGGTTTCATTTGAGAGGAAGGAAGGTGTGGACACACTGCTAATGCCATTATGATGGGCTGTGATGGAGCAGCAGCAGGAGGTGACTCAGTACAATGTTTTCTCATGCTGTACACATCATGAGAAAGATCCTGACAGCAGGTAAATCAAACACACAGTTTGCTGTGCAGAAAACTTACATGTCCTTGGCTTTTTTTCAGGCTTTCTATAGACAGGACCGTGGACGCAGTTCTAATGTTTTCTGCACTTTTAGAAGGATTCTTTGAAGACATGAGAGATGCTTACTGGAAAACCTGGGGTACATGTCTGTGGTCTGTCACTTACGCTTTAGCCTGGCTCTGTCCTTACACTGTGAGTTACCAGACAAAAGGCAGTTATCTTCATAGCATGCTGCTGTGAAAGACATCACTCAGCCTGTCTTAGACGAGGAAAGAAAATCGTATTGTTTCCTAAAATATCTATCGCTAAGGCAATTTAATAGGTGTTACTTGAAAGTATGCCATTTCTAGTGGAGACAGACTGTGTAACTTCTAAAATAATTCACTTGCTGTGATAAATCTTG